CTAGTTAATAGCAAAATGTAGTAAGAATGCTGACTTCTAATTATTTTGAGTTAATACCTCAGTTTTAAATATAATATATTCAACTGTAAGTTAATATAATTTAATTTTAAAAATGGCTGTGACTGACAACTGGCTCACAAAAGTAATGAAAATATAACAATTGACAAGTTGTTATATTATAAAATATAACAAGTGAGGAGCTGGTAGAGGCTGACTTCAACACACCACTCAGTGAGTTCTAGTCTGTCTTGAATATAGGTATGAGGGATCCAGTGAGTAAATCCTACTTTTTTTATAGATTTATTTTTTTGTTGACACATGCAAAATGCTCATATTGGAAGGCTTTTGGAGGCTGTATAGCACATAATCATAAGAAAAGTTCTAAGAAGACTGTCTAAGGTTACCTCACTGCACAGTTAGTCATTGGTAGATTTCTTTAGGACAGGAATATTCCATGTTGTAAAAAAATGTTCCTGTAGGATTAATGCTGTGCTAAATGAAAATTTCAGTGCCCCATATACCTTTTAGACACTGCCCAAAAAGAACTGTATGTCTAAATGTAAGGCATTTATACTTTATTTATTTACTAATTTTTTGCATTTATACTTTAGAGTATATTACAAAGCATTTTTGAAAGTGTCAGATAGTGAATGTATTGTGTGTGTGGGTGGCTTTTTCCCCTTTTGGTAGAAGACTCTGTGTGTGTATGTGTGTTGTGTGTGCGTGCTAATTGAGTTTACTACTCTGTGATAAAGTGCTGACAAACCCCAACTGACTTATTTTGTCATAATGGGGTTTTCTCTATATGTATCTGATGTAAACTCTCTCATCTTATAACTGCCTAAAAAAATGTATATCTTCTCTTTATATAAGAGCAATTCCTTTATATAGGAAGCATTCCAGACTCTACATATTAAAGCTGTATTCTGTAACAAAAAAATATTTCAGTTCATTCAAAAAACAAAATATTGTTGTTTTCTTCTCATTGTTTTTTTCTCATTAGTGGTCTCTCTTGCTTAAAGAAAACAGTGAGAGAAGAGATGTAGAGGAAACTATTACTCAATACTAGTGAAGGTATAGTATTAAATTGCCTGGAAATTTTGTTTTCTGCTTTCACATGGTCACAGGAAAAAGGCATATGTATATATAAACTCTCAGAGATTTACTTATAAAATCAATTTCTAGAGTTGCATCAGTGGACTTTAAACTCATTTCTTACTTTTATACCTATAATACTAGAACAGTTAATTGATATGAGAATGATGGTTGAATTAGCTAAGCATAATCAAAGATTTAATTATGCTAGGTATATTGTAATTCATAAAGTGACAAAACATATCAAGAGTAACCACAGTGACTGAGATGAATCATTCCTGTGGCTTCCCCCTTCTGAGTCAACTGATTATATTACTCAGGACAACCCATTTTAGAGTATGTTGCTGACAGACAGCCTCTACTGTCTGTCCAATACATTACATTGTATCTCAACACTTTTTTTTCAGTAGAGTGATAAAAAAATCTGCAATATATTTTTCACTGTATTTAGCCACTCCTTCACTGAGATCTGATGACATGTCACAGTTTCTGGACATCAGAAATATTTACGTGGTTCTACATCAGAAACCGAAGCCATTGGTATATATTTATCTGGGCTGTTTACTTGTCTAGAATGCCATTTAAAAGAGCAAAAATTATATCCTTTTAAAATATTCTAGGCTCATTAGCATAATGACATTAACTTTTAAATATATTATTTTCTGTAGTTAACGTTTTAGTATTTCTGAATCTGATATTGAGCGAAGCAATTTTGTAAGCATTAGCTCAGTATTTTCAAAATGCATATAACTTCATTTTGTGGATATTGAATTCACTTCAGTTGGTAGCAGCATGAAAGAGTATAATAAAAAATAATAAAATAAGCACTCACTTATAGAGGAGCATTTCATGAGCATTCATGAGTATTTCATGAGCATTTAGTTTTAATTAGAATTATGTATCTTTATGTCTGTGTACTGAGTCACAGTGTGAGCTGTGGTTCTAACCAAAAGTGGAAAAGTCACTGCACTTTTTTATATAATGCTCTTGACAGTGCTGTTGTATATAACTCATTGTCTATGATGTGCCCACACTTATAGTTTATGAATTCCAAGTTAGTTCTCTTTACACATTCATTAATGTTGTGGCACTTCTGGTGGACTATAAAGAGTACAAGTTTTGCCTTATTTGATACATGGGTCTGTTTCTTTATACTCAATTTAAGGCTAGTGTCTCCACAGCCCTAACTATTTACAAGGCTGTGGTGATCAAGTGAAGTAATTTCTATGAATATGCTTTTACAAATATAAAGTATTATAAAAGGACTTGCCATTGACTTCTCCAAAACTCACTGCTTACTGGGTTTTAAGTGTCTTTTAAAGTATTTTTTATTTTTATTTTTATTTATTTATTTATTTATTTATTTATTTATTTTTTTAATAGAGGCATGTTTTATTTATTTATTTATTTTATTTGTTTGTTTGTTTTGTTTATACAAGCACTGGGTACAGTCAGAAGCGCGGGAGGGTGAGAGAATTCACCAGAGCCAGAGCGGGGAGCAGAGCAGGCAGAAGGACCAAAGTACACTGCTGAAGGGAGCAGCGGGCGGCAGGAGAGGTCTGCGTGCCATGGGGGACCCTCCTCCAGTGGCGGAGGAGCAGACGGGGATCGAACTGGCGCCGCAGAGGCCGCGGGCAGCTTGGCAACCCAGGCTTAACCGCTGCGCCACCGGGGAGGCCCTAAAGTATTTTTTAAACTAAAAAATTTGTAATTCATTGTTTCATGAGTAGAGAGCACTACTGTGGAAGTACTTTTTATAGTCCTAGTTCTTGTTTATGACAGGATGTTGTGGTAAAGAAACTATGATTTTATTTATATTTACAGCCTTTCCAATTTTGTTGTTACTCTTGACAAAACAACAGAAGGCAAATGTACTTTGGATATACCTGTACAAACTCATTATTTACGTTTGTTATAAATAAGCCTGCATCTTGATTCTAAAACAAAATTATGTAAATAAAACTTGATTAAAAAAATGCAAAAAACCCATGGTGATAATCAGTGGAACATCTAAACATTTCTGAATAAAGAGATTATCCAAAACTTGAAAACAATAACAGAGGGACAAAAAAAAGACCAAAAAAAACCCCATAAAATCTCTAATTGACTGCAAAACTTGTGAGTATAAGTATTTCAATAAATGGCAGAGCAGTTGTGTCTGCTGCCTGTCTTTTATCTTTATGCCATTCCATTGATATCTATCTTCTGTTTCCCCATCTGCCTCCCTCCCTGCTTCCATCTCTCAGTCCTTCTCCTCAATTTATATAATTTCTATCTGTCATCTCTCTATTTGTGGCCATTCAGACAAGATTCATGTTAGGATAGATGTTTTATTCCATATATTTTTTTTACATTTATTTATTTTTATACAAGAATTGGGGTACAGGCCAGAGATATGGGGGTGGTGGTGGTGGTGAGAGGATTCACCAGAGACAGAGCCAGGAACAGAACAGGCAGATGGACTGAAGTACACTGCTGATGGGAGCAGCGGGCGAGACAGGAGAGATCTGTCCCGTCATGTGGGTTTCTCCCTGGCCGGCTGGGAATCGAACTCGTGCTGCAGTGGCTGCGGATTGCTTCATAGGTTGCGTCTTAACTCCTGCGCCACCAGGGAGGCCCTGTTTTATTCCATATTTATTCTTTGGTCTAATTCCAAGATACTAAGATAAGAATATAGGTATTTTGTGTGCCAGTATGGAATACCATCATAATTCAGTATACATCCTAAGTATTTAGAGTTATGAACATTATCATAATTATACATATTTCTCAACATTTAGAGGAACCGGCAGTTATCTGGACAGAGGAGCATTGATGCCTCTGTTTTCCAGTATCTCCTTAGTCTAGTATTAGTAAAAGCAGAGGAGGATACTGGGATGCAAATTAGGCAGAGGAGGGCTCTTTGCCAAGTGTTGTTTATTGAACTGAGGAGATGCCTCCCAGTGGGTTGGAGTGAGTTGGTTAGTTTAAGTGGGCAGAAAAAAGACAACATACTTCCAAGTGCTGAGGTTTCACAAATCAATATTCTAAAGGTAGATTCCCTGGGCCCCTCCAGGGTGGGGCAGATCTGATGGTCCCTCCCTGTTCTGGAGGGGAGGTTTGTCTTAAAACTGGGAAGTGCCCTTCCTTGGAGAATTAGGATCCTTGAAATGAAAACAAGGCTATGATTTATCTTTTTTTTTTTTTTTTTAAAACAAATTGACCGAAAGAAAGTGTTAAGGAAATAGGATGGCTACAGTTTCAGGGGATTTGTGTATGGTTCCTAAAAGAATGAATTGTTTTGACTTTTTCAGACGTTGCACATCAACAGATGCCAATAGCAGGGCATCCATACCTATTCATGAGAAAAAAAATCTCTAAAGAACTTGTATTAGTCAACATGTTGCAAAATAACTTATTAGAAAAAAATACATCAAAGTATAAAAAGCATATTCTTTTAAAGTGTTCTGCAGTTCAAATTTTAAAATGATTTAACAGAATCACCTCACTCTAACTCCAGTTAATGAGATTTTACTGTTTGTGTGTGTGTGTGAGTGTGTGTTGACTATGTCTAAAGGAAAGGGGAAAAAAGTACCCCTTCTGACAAGTGATAATCATCCCAACTTTGGATTCAAACTGAGAGAACAGGGCTCATCAAAACATGGATGAATTAATACTGTGAGAGAATATGTAAGAGTGATGGGGTAAGAAAATAAAAGGAGGGGAAAAGGTTTAGGTCAGAACAAGAAAATCTCAGTGTTTAAATGTATGCCTCTCATTTTGAAGTTTGTTTGATAAAGTGTGAAATTTTACATTGACTCATTTCAAAGCAAGATAAAGATCACAAGGATTTAGAGCAATTTTATTTCATACTAGTTTATATAAAATTTATTATTTTTCAGTATATAGCCAAATATACAGTTTAAAATATTTTAAAAAGAAACTTTAAGGGCCTCCCCTGGTGGCGCAGGCGATTAAACACATTGCTGTGAAGCTGTCTGCAGCCTTTGCAGCGCCAGTTCGATCCCCGCTGGCTGGGGAGGGTCCCACATGGCAGGGCAGACTGCTCCTGTCTCGCCTGCTGCTCCCCTCAGCAGCGTATTTCGTCAGTCTGCCTGTTCTGTTCGCCATTCTGTCTCTGCTGAATCCTCTCACCCTCCTGCACATCTGGCCCGTTCCCCGGTTCTTGTATAAATAAATAAATCTTAAAAAAAAACTTTAATATTTATTCCTCTAGCCCTGTTATAGGGCAGCCCCGATACAAAACGGGGTGCCTGACTGTGGGTCCTCACTCGCGCGCTTAAAAGGACTTATCAATGCTCTACTACAGGCACACAGGAAAGGTTAATAAAAGGTTTATTTACAAGGGAAGGGCAAATGAGGAAATGTACAACTCAGGGAGAAAAGTGGGAGACAAAGTTTTAAATGCGTCCTACCCAATCCTCCCATCTGGAATCCCAAATGGCACACTGAGAGCTGGCCGCAAGCCAGGAGCCGTGAAGCCAGGAGGTGAGCGAGAGAGCGAGCCCCCCAAGGCCCACGTGTCTGGTTTTTATACCAAACCTGGCTGCTTAACTTCACCCTCAGGTCCTAGCCACCTTCCCTTTGGTGGTGATGGGATTTGTCTTTCCCGATGTCTTGATGGCTTTGGTCTGGAGTGGGGGTGGGGTCCACAAAGCCTGCATGGAATTAGCTCAGGACATCCTTTCCCCCTAACAGCCCCACCATTTTTTTAATCACCAAACTAGTAACATTAACTTTAGTGTTCTGCTACTGACCTACTGGCTCTTATGTTTACTTTGTACTGCTGAAGTGAAAACTTGATAAAACTACTGGTAGTATGGAATAGTCATTCCAGTTTGGACAATCGATATAAGGTAATTTTATAAGTGACTAATCTGTATTCACTTTTGAAACATACCATAGTGATTAATCACATGCTATTGTATATGTGGGAAGGTTATGGCATAGTTACTTGTTATGTTTGTTACCTATGTTTTACTAATTCCAGGGCCATCTTGTCCTTTAGTTTATTGTGATGCTAAGCAATATGCCATATTTTGAGTAAAATTTTCTTAGAGAAGCATAGTTCCTGTTTATGAAGAATTTTGTTATAAAGTGAGAACAATTCCAAAAGCCACATCTAGAAATTCTATATTACATCATGATCTGTTCATTATTACACCTTGTGCATCATTTATGCTCTCTATAAATCTAGAATTATTCATAGTTGGTTTAGGTAATAATTTTTAAGAAAATTTCACAGGATGGTAATAATTAAAAGGTGGTATATTTTATTAGTAATGATCAAGTGGAAGGAAGTTACATCATTTCAAAGACATGTTCTTCTGATCCTCCACAGGGCCATGTAAGGATTAAATCTGGACCTGGAATGAAATACTAAGATCCTAAGTTAAATTTGTTTCATACTGTCTTAGTGTTTTATATTAATAATAGTCATTTATTATATATTCATTAAATACTAACTGTAGGTATAGAATTTAGCTAGACATTTATTGGGATATCATATGAATAACAAATTCCTTAATCAATGAAGTATATAATGATCATAGGTATAATTTTACAATTAATATTTTCTGTTTCAAACTTTACTGCTGGGCAGGGCTTTAGGACTAGCCCCCTATCTGCCTTACTTGCCTGCTTCAAGGTTTAGGAAAATGTTTTTTTCTAGCTATGACATTGCTGGATTCTGAGACTTCTTCATCAGGCCTCTTCTCACAAGATTTTGGACAACACTCTCAGTGAATCCTTAAATGCACATTGAGCACCTTCACTGTGACATACTTTAGGGAATGAGGACATGAAGTCCTTTTCATCATGATCTTTATAGTCTTTGGTAGACAGATATTAAATATACTTATAAATCATAATTATAAGTTTGTAAAAGCACTGTAATGATATATAGGGGTTAGGTGACTGTCTCTTAGGAAGAGTGCTCTTGAAGTTATTGAGAATCAAAGAGTTGAATTAGAGTTCTTGGTGTGAAGAAAGCTGGCAGAAGATTGTCAGTGAAAAGTACAACCTGTGTGAAGCCTGGAGACTGGAGAGAGTGTGGTTTAAGCACTCACAGAGAATCCTGAAGAGGAGCTGTTCCAAAAGTGACTCAGGCTTTAGGAAGAAACCATTCCATGCAGGGATCTGTAAGTAATTGTGAGGAATTTAGTTTATTTTATCTTATTTTAAGGAAAAAGTAGAACCAAAGCAAGAGAAGGACAGGATTAGATTTTCATTTTGTGAAGATCACTGTGTGTAGTGTGAAAAATGCTTTGAAAGAGGCTGTGTAGATTTTGTTGAGACCAGTTAGGATGCCACTGTGATCTAAGTGCACAGTATCTGCAGGAGGATGGATACTCCCACTCTGTCCAAATTTGGAAAGCTTGGAAAGTATCTTGAAGGTGGGAATGATCGGGCTTGCTAATAGATTTGTGGGAATCAGTATGAGGACAGGATGACTGCTGCTGCTTGAAAAGCTGATTTGAGCTGTGACATCTACCAAGAAAATGACATTAAAGTTGGGTTGTTTGAACTTTTAATCTCCATGAAAATTTAAGAACAAACTTACTTATTAATTTTCCCCTGTACTTCACAGTTCTTTTGCGGCATTATAACGGATTACTCTAGGTTTTAAAAATTGTTTCCCTTTCTACTGCGGTGTAAGGTATGTATGTAAGTGTATGTATACATGTGTCTGTTGAAAGCATAGTCCTTTGAAATTACCCATTTCAGTTCCAGACAGCTGGACCCTTACTCCCTTACCTTTCTATATTGATTCTCTTTTGTGCTTCAGCTTCCTTGAGTCATAAACTTTATTGTTTTTGAATTTCTTGCTCTGTTAACTTGCTCTTTAGAATATATGAGTGCATGAGTGTCTCTACCTACACTACCATATAACAAATAGTTCCTTTAGATTGCATTGAATTGGCGTGTAATAAAATTGAGAAAGGTAGAAAAATTTTAAAAAGGTTTTCTTTAATGGGTTGTCTTATAGGATGGGCATCTGCATGGAAGTGGAGAGCTGAGAATCTTTCTGTGAGAATAGCAAAAATTTGCCATTTGCTTGCCAAAGTCAGAAAAATAGGGATTCAGCTCTTATTTTCCCACCCATACTTTGGGCAGTATGACAGTTTTAATGTGAATTGTAAAATGTAGGCGGTATACTCTAATTCCCTTTCATGCACATAAATCAAGTTTCAGGCTCTTTCGGAAATGTTTACTAGAAAACATCATGGGCAGATTTTAAAATGCTTTTGGATTGCATGACGGCATGGTGCCACTTCAATTGAAGGCTTGTAATATTTTATTTTCTCTCCCAAAGAGTCAAGATAAATCCTGTAAACATTTTTTCTTATTTTGTTGTTTCTGTTGTACCATTGTGTTTAGCTCTGACCTTTTACCCCCTGGGAAACAAAAGTGTTTTCTTACTCTAGCTTTCCTGCTGAGCACTCTAGCTTTTGGGCAGCAGTTTCAAAGTTGTTCCTTATTTACACATTGTAATTCTGGCTGGTCAGAAAACCTCCTAGGTTTTGCCTAAAGTGTAATCTATTAATTTTAGGAAGTATATTTTGAAGGGAAATCTTAAATTGAATGAGAATGTAGCTTATATATTTTTAAAATATAAAATCAAATTAAATCATATCCTTTCAGAAAAATGATTATGGCAAGATTCAACATAAAGCTTAGTCTATCACACCTCTCCCAAATTCATCAATAGTAGGTTCTAGTAACTACTTTTTTGTTAATTCAATAATAAAAGTAATAACTGATGTGTTAAACCATTAGTATATGCCAGGCACTATGTAGACTGTCCTCTAGGAGGTCCGTTGAGAGAAATGGACATGTTGATAAATGTTATAACTCACTTAGAAGGAAGTGTAGAGTGAAAGAGACAGATGGGGAAGGGACTGGTCCTACCTGGAAAAGTTGGGGAAAGAGTCATCAAGAGGGGACAGTTGTGTTATCTTTGTAGATTCCAGATAGGAGCAGGGGAGTGGCTTAGATGTTCACAGTGTAACAACCTGATAAATTCGATAAAAGAGTTAGGTTTTGGCATCGTGGGAACACGTAGAAGAGGCAAATTGTTCAGTTGGGGATGGATGGAGGGCAGTTACCTAGAAAATGGTAACAGTACTGAGGCCTAAAGATATGTAGGAATGAGAACAGTAAGAGTAAACTAAGGAGGGTTTTCTAGGCAGAAAAAAAAAACTGTGAAGGTTCCCAAAATAAGGCAGTAAGAAGTGCTACTTCTGTCTTTGAATACCAGAGATGAATATGGCTTTTTGTGGAAGTGCTAGATGGGTCCTGTGCCTTGACTTTATTTTGAAGACAACCTGGTCATGTTGAAGGACTCAAGGCAGAGGAGTGATAGAATAAGATAAACACAATTAGAAGATAATTTTAAATTCATTTAATAAAATTGGGAACATTGGTGAATCAATTCCCAGGGGAAGAGTCAGCACCTAGAACTCTCTCTGCCTTACTGTTTGGGTTATTAGTTACCTAGCAGCCATAGCTTTTAGTGTCCTGTGCTTGTGGTAATTTTTGCTATCCTCGTCGTTGCTGCTATCCACCATTCTTTTCTGCATCCATCATGTTTGTGATTCACGCAGTCTGTTTTATAAGCCAGGCTGCATCAGGAAAGGTGACTGAAAAAGTAAGAAGAGAAAAGTTTATGCACTCACGTTTATTTTGTTGGTAGATATTGGTGTTCATATGATTACTTGAGATTGTCTAATTGAATCTCATGGTCTCATTACAGTTTTCCTGTTTGGGGATTTACCTCAGGTAAAATAATTGGAAATTACTGGTAAAACCCCAAACTGCATTACAGCTGCCACATGTGGATACAGGGGAGCCAGGCTGTTTTTGTCTGCTTCCTCATAAACATTCTTTCCGCATTCTTTATCAACACATAATCCTGAGACACAAAAGCCTTTGTGTCCCACTGGGAATGTGAGAAAATCAAATCTGTATATTGGTTTTGCTCCTGGTTAAAAACCAGTAACATTTCCATATTAACCACCCAGGTTTTGAATTGAGATAAACGTTTTAGCAAGATGTGTCCTACATTTTCCTTGAAGATATCACCATTCCAATACAAAAAACCTCAAAGACACACTTTAAATGTGTTTTCATCTACTTGTTAGAAATGTAAATTAAATGATGCTTAGTTTGATAGTAAGCCTGTATACCATATACTGGACATTTTATCTCAATTAACACATTTTTTTTCAAGATTATTTTTTTTATGCATACAAGAACTGGAGTGTAAACCAGAGGTGCAGGGTGGTGACAGGATTCATCAAAGACAGAGTGGAGAGCAGAACAGGCAGATCTACTGAAATACACTGCTGAGGGGAGCAGCAGGCGAGACAGGAGAGGTCTGCTGTGCCATGTGGGTTGCTCCCTGGCCAGCTGCAGTGGCTGGCAATAGATTGATAGCACTGTATTTAACCCCTGCACCATCAGGGAGGCCCTCAACACATTTATGCTTTCCCAAAATCATATGGGATAGGTATCATTGTTGTGCAGTCTTATGGACTAAATTGTGCCATCCCATTTTTGAGCTTGAAGCCCTAAAACCTTTAATTAGTTAATTTATGTTAAGTAAGATCTTAAGGGTGGTATTCTGATCCATAGAACTAGTGTTCTTATAAGAAGAGACAAGAGGGACGATGCAAAAGTTCAGGTGAACGACCCAGTGTGAAGGAAACTCTCAGCTAGTTGTTGGAGGACACTTTGCCAACACCTTGATCTTGGACTTCCAGCGTCTGGATCTTCTAGAAAATAAATTTAAGCCACCCTGACTGTGGTATTTTGTTATGGGCACCCTAACAGATAAAATATATGCAGATTTTGCACACAGGGAAATGGAAGCAACTGGCCTCAGGTCACATAGCTAGGAAATGACAAGAGCAAGGTTCACACTTGGGAAGTGTGATCATGCAGTTTGTGTGGTTACCACTTTGCTATTCTGGTTCTCATGCAGATTGAACCCCCCCAATATCTGCATCTGGGTGGTGTGACTACACTAGCCTTTTCTCTCTTCTGCCCTCTCTCCTTCCTAATACTCAAGTATCATGGACTGTCACTTTGGGCTGCACTGAATTTGCAGAGGTATCAGTTAGTAATTTGCTGTAACTCAAGCAATTTCATGGTTCAGAATGGGCAGGGTCAGCAAACACTGTTAAATTTTTCTTGTCCTGCGTTAATATTTCACATGAAAACAAATTTACTTACTTTCCACCAGCATTAGTTTCATTATTTCTGGTAAAGGCTGCTCTTGTAGTATATCCTTGGCTGTCGTCTTTTGGCTAAGAATTTCTGTCAAAGGACTGGGAAAAAGTTAGAAAAAGGAAAGAAGAGAAATTGTTTGAATCAAAGTGACCATGTTAATGTCCAAAACAGATCTAACTGATGAACTGAATTTTTTTAACTGTTTAAAGATATGTTTAATATGCCATTTATTTAAGAGTAGTCTTTAAAATGCTATTCTTTAATGCTAGTCTTTAAAGATTACTTGAGATTGTCTAATTGAATCTCATGGTCTCATTACAGTTTTCCTGTTTGGGGACTTACCTCAGGTAAAATAATTGGAAATTACTGGTAAAACCCCAAACGGCATTACATGTGGATACAGGGGAGCCAGGCTGCTTTTGTCTGCTTCCTCATAAACAGACATGTCTAGGTTTTAAAATATTACAGTATTTTTGGCAGATGCTTTTTTATACCTCAGTTAATCTAAAGAAAAGACATAAATGCAAAAAATAGTGACTGTTGACAGCAATTTGTGGAATCTTCCTTAAGAATACCCATATAGTGGGTCTCCCCGGTGGCGCAGCGGTTGAGCGCTGGGTTGCGAAGCTGCCCGCGGCCTCTGCGGTGCCTGTTCGATCCCCTGCTGCTCCCCGGCCACCGGAGGAGGGTCCCACATGGCGCGCAGACCTCTCCTGCAACCCGCTGCTCCCCTCAGCAGTGTACTTCGGTCCTTCTGCTTGCTCTGCTCCCCGCTCTGGCTCTGGTGAATTCTCTCACCCTCCCGCGCTTCTGACTGTACCCAGTGCTTGTATAAACAAAACAAACAAACAAACAAATAAATAAATAAAACATGCCTCTATAAAAAAAAAAAGTTTAAAAGAATACCCATATAGTGGATTATTCAAATAATGAATTATACAAATATAATATATAATATAGTGGATTATACAAATCCTATGTTGGGACCGGTCTAGGAAGTAATGATAAGTACTTTTATGCTTGTTAAACATCTCTGATGATTTGCAGTTGTGTAGATTGTGCACAAAAATGAAACTTAGAATGAGTAGAATAAGTACTTGATCTGTTGCCCTGATTTTATTCTTAGGACTACTATAATTTCAGTACATTGTCAGATGCCTTTTGTATAAGTGATATTTAGATACTTAAGATAATAAAATTACATTCTAGTCATCAGTTTTCAGATTTTAGCTTTTATTTAATTTTTTATGATTGCCACTTAAAAGATAAAGTTTAGTTTCTGCAACTAAATTAATAGTATGTGACTGATTTTTCACTATGATAGAGGAATGAGAATGTGCATCATTTCCTAGGGAAATTTGTTTCCAGTTTATGGACCTGCCCATTACCTGCTTTTATGTGCAAGACTTTCCCCTGGATTAGAAGAAACTGGAGGATGAATCTAAGTGCGAAATAAAATAATGATTTGGAATGATTTATGCAGTTCTTTCTCCATGTTGGAACTACTTTGTTATCGCTGTTTTTCTGTATATAATTTCAGTAGAAAATATATTCCATTTTCAAAATAAGACATTTGTCTTTATAAGTTAGCTTATTTAATACCTGACTTTGTTGTCCTTAATTTATGACACTGAAATTGGTTGCTGTGGAAATGTTTTCAAAACCTTAGATTTATGGTATGTGCAAAGTATATCAGAGAATCACACACATTGTTTTTTTTTTTTTTTAAGATTTATTTTTTTTATTTATACAAGCACTGGGTACAGTCAGAAGTGAGGGAGGGTGAGGGAATTCTCCAGAGCCAGAGCAGGGAACAGAACAGGCAGACTGACGAAGTACACTGCTGAGGGGAGCAGCGAGCATGGCAGGAGAGGTCTGTCGCGCCATGTGGGACTCCTAACCGGTGGCTGGGGATGGAACTGGCACTGCAGAGGCTGCGGGCATCCTCGCAACCCAGCGCTCAACCGCTGCGCCACCAGAGAGGCTCAGATTGTTCTTTTTTAAAGTGTGCTCTTTTCTCATCCCTACTTACAATAAAAAAAAGGAGTGTAAATTATAGGAAAAAGATTATTTTCCTACACAAGAGAGTATTTTCTTTAGAGATCAGTGACTTTATGTCTTAGCGTAAATTATTTTGTTTAGTAAACTTGTTCTAGTTTCAAGCCATTCTATTTGCCAGTAAAAGATGAAATATTTTGCATTTTGAAATTATTGGATTTTTCATTATAGTCGAAATTCATGTTTAAGAATTCTGTCAGATTTTTAAAGAATGGATGACATTTAAATTTATTTATTGAAAGACTTCAGTACCACCATATATTTTCTTTTTGATTTAATGATTTTCTTCTTGAACCACATTGCCTGAATACCCATCCCTTCAAATGGTAAATCTGCGTTACCTGATCACAAAATTAACTGCAAATAGGAGGTTTTGCTCTACATTTAACCAATTTTAGCATGGAATTATCTAGCGTGCTTCTGAGATTCTGACACCAATTCTGATGTTAACACCATCAAGCAATGAATTCAATCCTGACATTGTCTACCTGTAAATAGTGTCAGACCCCACAGGTTAAAGACTCAGTTCTACAAGATTCTTTGCCACTTCCCACTCCTTGCTAGTTGCAAGTCCAGGTTTTCACCTATGCTTCTGAATGACCTGCTGTAGATGGGCAGTTCCCAAGACCAGGGAATTAGCTAGAATGAGTCACAGAACTCAGAGAAACATTTTATTTAGTAGACTTCCAGTTTATTATAAAATGATATAATTCACTTAGAACAAGATGGAAGAGAAGCACAGGACAGGTATGGGAAAACAGCACAAAAATTACATGCCTTCTGTGAGTTACACTCCGTGCATCTCACCTGCTCATCAACCTGGAAGCTTTCTGAACCTGCCCTTTTATGGCTTTACAGAAGTCCCGTTATTAAGGCATAATTGAATAAATCATGTGGGCAGTTTGATTCAAACTGTAGCCCCTCTCTCCTTTCTCCGAGTGGGGTGGGGGTGGAATGGGATTGAAAGCTCTAGCCCTTTATTCACGTTGTTGTTTCTCCTGGCAACCAGTTCCCATTTCCAGGTGCATTCCAAAGGTCATCCTATTAGTGTTGAATCAGGTGTGGTGGAAGATGTTTATTATGAATGACAAGATCTTTATTGCTGTTATCATTTAGGAAATCTTAAGGATTGTAGAAGCTCTGTGCTAGAAATGCAAGAGGAAGACCCAAATTATATATTTCTTATTCTAAGTTGTAGTATCTCAGAGTTCAAAATGAGGGGTGAAGGGAACCCCCTATTTCAAAGATAATTATCTGCTCTAGTTTAGGTTACAGTTCTCAGTGGTTTGTGGATGCCTAGCACCTATTATTCATTTTACTTTGGGAAACTGTACCTCCTCACAAAGTCTTGGAGTAAATTCAGTTGAGTGGTATCCTGTCTCTTTATGTAGGAGTTGGGTGGGTAGCCAAGGCACATTAGGAAAATATGAACTCTACCCTAGGATTTCATAATCTGGGACCAAAAAGTTAATTGCACTTATGGCATCTGTTTTACCTGCCACATCGAGAATGTATGTAGAAGAGTATTGGATAGAGGAACTAGAGATTCCCTGCTATGTTAAAAATCTCTTTGTAGTAACTGTTAGAAACAAGACATTAGGCTCAAAATGAGTTGCTTATGTTAAGTCCCACATCACCAAACCAAGAGTCAACTGCAGTTTTCGTTCCCCCAGAAATGAAAAAATTACATGGAACCCCGATTAGCTCTAGCTAGGTAATCTGTCTGATGAGACCAGCCACCCCAACAAGGAAAGTAACCTTGCAATAACCAATCCACTTTTTTGCTTAGTGTAATTTCCTTGTTCCTGTTTCTTGTGTTTGTAAGTCTTTCATTTTGTACAGCCTCTCAAAGCACCAATCTATCTGTTAGATTAATGAATCATTGAATAAAGCCTATAAGAGCTTCAAAATTTACTCAGTTGATTCTTTTTTTTTAAGATTTATCTTTATTTATGCATGTAAGAACTGGGCTGTAGGCCAGAGGTGAGGGAGTGGGGGATGAGAGGATTCACCAGAGACAGAGTGGGGAGCAGGACAGGCAGATCTACTGAAATACACTGCTGAGGGGACAGCCAGTGAGGCAGGAGATGTCTGCTGCGCCATGTGGGTCCCCTCCCTGTTCGGGGATTGAACTCGTGCCTCAGTGACTACAGATATCTTGATAGTGCTGAGACATTAACCCCTGTGCCACCAGGGAGGCCCCGAATTTTTTTTTAAAAGATTTATTTATTTATTTATACAAGATTGATTGATTGATTGATTGATACAAGCACTGGGTACAGTCAGAAGCGCGGGAGGGTGAGAGAATTCACCAGAGCCAGAGCGGGGAGCGGAGCAGGCAGAAGGACCGAAGTACAATGCTGAGGGGAGCAGCGGGCGGCAGGAGAGGTCTGCGCAGCCATGTGGGACCCTCCTCCAATGGGCGGGGAGCAGCCGGGGATTGAACCGGCGCTGCAGAGGCTGCGGGCAGCTTCTCAACCCAGCGCTCAACCGCTGTGCCACCGGGGAGGCCCCCGAATTTTGTTTTTTAACTCAGCTGTTTATGAGAATTAGCTGCTTCCTCACATATCCTATGGTTTATTCAACTTTTCTTTTAATTCCATAAGTTAATACATTTCTCCTTTTACCTAAGTTAGTTTAAATTCAATTTTTGTCACTTACAATCAAACTGATGATCACTTCAACCAAATTACCTTTTCTATGTTAATGTTTTCCTTCTCCTTTTTCATATGCCTATGTTATTTTCAAAAATACTATCCAGGACAAATACAATTTTGTTTTCTGCTCTTTTCTCCAACTAATGCATCCGATAATTACATGCCTTTTTTTGCCCTCTAAGTATTTCCTTCTTATTTGTAATAAATATGTGAATTGATACCATAGTTTATAATTTCACATGTTAAATATTTGGGCTTTCTTTCAGTCTTAAAAATTGTTTCTGAGAAACAATTAAATAGTGAAAGAAACTTGGTGCATTTTTAGTATTTTCACATTTAATTTCTAAAAATTTGATTGTTAAGAAAAACATGAACCTATTTTAATGTTCTTTAATGTAATTTCATATTAGAATCATAAATGCAGACCTCACATTTTTATTAACAGTAGTGATATGTTTTCATCATTTACCTGTAACTACACTAGCCTTGTTCATTGTAGTTTTTAAAAATGAAGCACAGCTTTGCTCACTGTAGTTTTTTAAAATGGATACATTCTATATTTAATTATTTATCAAATCCCATGTAATTTTTTTTATTATTTATTTATACAAGAACCGGGGTAGAGACCAGATGTGTGGGAGGGTGAGAGGGCCCACCAGAGACAGAGTGGGGACAGAACAGGCAGAGTGACCGAAATGCACTGCTGAGGGGAGCAGGGGGCGAGACAGGAGAGGTCTGACTTGCCCCCATGTAATTTTTATTTACATTTGGTCATCTTGCCCTTTTAATTTTTAGTGTTTCCATCCTATTTCCGTCATTTATCAATTTACTCATGTATTATTTGAATAAATTTATAGTTAATAAAAATATATTCAGTCTTTCCTGTTGTTACTCATGTTTCATCTGCATCACTTTAAGTGCATTATCTGACCAAGATATCAAATCCTCAACTCATCTAGAAGAGACTAATAATATTACCTACCTTAGGGAGTAGTTACAGGGATTACATGGTATAATGCATGTACAAAGTTTAGAGTGATAACTTGTACATAGAATTTAAGTAAATTATAAGAAATATATGCACCGAGTATATCGTTTGCTTGAAACCCAGTTTAAGTTTGCCCACTTTAGGGAATTTCTCTTTACTTGCTTATAATTAGTTTCAGTACTCTGGTGATTATTTCGTCTCTTTATAGTAGGTACCCTTACATAACTACCCTTCCCTTATTTGGATACACCGGTTTACACTTAGGAGAATAAAGATTCATTGAGAAAGAGAATATAGATCTGATACATGTATTACATTTCTAGCATACTTAAAAATTCTAATCATCTTACGTGACAGAATACTACTCAGCTATTAAAAAAAAAGATGAATTCTTTCCAGTTGCAATGACATGAATCAAAGTGGAAGGGGGTTATGCTAAGTAAAATAAATCAGAGAGAGGAAGACAAATACTGGATATTTCACTCATGTGTGAAATATAGAGAAACAAAGGAACTGACAAAAGTAACGAGAAGAAACCCTGGAAATATGACTGCAGAATTGAGGCTACTATAGAGGGAAGGCAGGGGAGGTGGACAAAGAGGGCAAGAAACCCAGTGCTCTAGTGTACAGGACTGTGGGTGCTTTGGTGGTGTGATGTGGTAAGGTAGATCTGAGGAGGCGTGAATTTACTGCCCTAAATCATATGCAGTGTTGCAAAACAATTTCACCTCAATAGTGAAATAAAAAAAAAAAAAGAATTCTAATAGTGTGACAGAGGCTTCTTTCATGTTAGGTATGCTTGGTCTCCAAATAACTGTTGACTTTAGAGTGAAAAACAACTGTGTGGTACAGGAAAGTTGGGTTTGTGGGACAGGCACTTATTGATCTTGTTGACTCAGAAGTTGTAACAATGGAATGAACATGGACTTTGGAGCCTAAATAAAACTGAATACAAATTCAAATGGCCATTTGCTTATCTAATTTAAATTAGTTAAGTGG